TTGTCAACTTTTTGTCTAAGTCGAGTTACGATTTTTCAAAAAATCTAAACTTTTCGAGGTATTTTGAGGTTTTTTCAATGATAAAGTGACGTTTCGTGAAATATAATACCATATTCGGAATCAGCGTGAAAAGCTGCATCGAATGATATATAGCTTTTTAATTTTTCTGCAGAAATATTTTCGGTCAACTGAATTATACAGTTGAAAGCCTCTCCGCAGCAAATTTTGCTAGGAATTTGGATATTTATTTTAGTAATAGTACACAAGTCTATAAACACATTTTTTATAGGCTTTCGAATATGATCTCTCCAATAGTGAGGTTTTCGAAACGTAAAAATATTTTTTATGGGTTTTCCAGAGATCCGGTCTTCAGAAAACCCACAAGGAATTACTTTTGGGTTCTGAAAATCTCATCATTAGAAAGAGCATATTCGAAAACCTATAGAAAAATGTGTTTATAGGCTTTCATATCACTTCTACAGCATATGTCCGCTTGCTCTATAGAAAAATGCCCACTGTGCGGGTGGAAGTATGCTATTACCATTAAAGAACTAAATCTATTGAATACTAAAACAGACATTGAATATATGTATTATTGTATGAAGAAATGCTCATTAATCAATAATACGAACTCAGCAAATATCAAAGGTTTGTTGAATGAGTTTGGGAATACAGTCAAAAAGCGATTAAAATTGGATATTCCCAATCTATCTAATGATGAGATTGAAGCGATCAAAACACTAATTAATGATAAATCTTTGATCATCTCAAAGGCTGATAAAGGTAACGCGGTCGTGGTACTAAATCGAGAAGATTATTTACAAAAAGGACAATCCATACTTGACGATAAGCGTGCGTTCAAACAGCTAAATGAAAATCCTACTGATGAACGTGAAAAGAAGTTTATTGATTTTCTATTGAAATTAAAAAAGAAAAAAGTAATCACAGATGATGAGTATAAAAGAATGAGACTTGATGCTGGCTCAAGAACTCCTGAAGCCTATTTTCTTGTCAAGGTACATAAAAGTAACCAGCCCGTTCGTCCAATTATATTGAGTTATGATGCATATAATTATAAAACGGCGAAATTTCTTGCTAATTTATTATCACCAGTAATGAAAGAGGGATCATCGTATATTAAAGATTCATTCGACTTTATTAGAATGAATTTTATCAACAAAGACTCGACTGGTTTGATGTTCTCATTAGACGTTTCTTCTCTATTTACAAATGTATCGTTGGAAAAGTCTGTTGATATAGCTATGAGAAAGATCAGACAGTATCATCTCGATTGGAAAATTAGTGATAATAATTTAAGAGAATTATTTTATATATGCACAAAAAAAAACTAATGTTACATTTGACGGTAAAAATTATGATCAGATTAATGGGGTCTCAATGGATAGCCCTTTGGCTTCCATTTTGGCCAATTTGTTTATGAATGAATTAGAGAAAGAAATTGATAAGTATTTACCTACGTTACGTTGACGATATCTTTTCTATTATTCATGGCACTCAAAAAGATATTGCCAAGTTTGTAAAATTTATAAATAAATTAGATCCATCTATTAAATTTACAGTTGAAGTTCAAAATAACAATAAACTACCGTTTCTGGATGTAATGATGGAGCGAAAGGCACAGGAGTTGATTACCTATGTTTACCGAAAGCCTACTGATACTGGATTGTATTTAAAATGGACTAGTAATCAGCCAAGGAATTATAAAATCAATTTGATAAAATGACTGTGTACTCGGGCTAAAAGAATATGTTCATCAAATGAACTATTTGAAAAAGAATTAGATTATTACGTACATATTTTTCATACAAATGGTTATCCGTTGAACATAGTAAAGAAGACGATACGGGGAATTAGATTAAACAAGACTGTACGAGAGAAGAAAAGAAAAGAAGAACATCAGCAACCATGTTGTGGGCAAGGTTTCTCAAGGATAGCCATTCATAGGTTGGCAAGTGGACATAGAACTAATTGGAATTCAGGAATACTCGCTATAGAATCTCATAAATTAAAGAGATAGATAAAAGAGAGTCTACTCATGGACATTCATACAAAAAAGGGAATAAGAACTATATATTCCCAAAAGACTTTTATGCTGAATGTTTTTTGAGATGAATCATACTACATATGATCTAGAAGGAGAGTGAAAAACAAAAAAAAAATATTTTATGTTCTACACGTGTTTTATTGTCTGTTTCTATGTTAGAAGTTATTTTTTGTGCATCAGTTGACTGATGATGTCTTTAGAATAAAGACGAAACGTCTCAATTTGAAATGGTCATTTCAACATGTAAAAAGGTGATTTTAATCTTGATTTTTACCATAAAATTTTTCACCTTAAACAAGAAACTTTATTATTTAGCAAATTAATTTTCGATACAACAAAATTAGTCGAAACAATCGCATATTATTCAGATTATATTGTTACAAAAAGCAATAACGAACACAACTAACAAATTAATGGAATATAAAATTCAAAAAGATTCAACCGAAGAAAAAGCACATAAATTAGTGTATACAATATTGTTAGATGAATTAACTGTGATTCAACATAAATGGAATTCAACCAACAACGTTGTGAACCGTTTACAACAGGAAAAAATTCGTTTAAAACAATTTTTTATCGACAAGTCAAACGGTATTGTTGGTGCAAATTTATTGACTAATGAAACAAATTTAATTCTAAATCAAAATTTAAAAGATGGTTTTATAAAAATATTTACTTCAGATATCATTTTATCATTACAAACTACAAAAAATTTGTGCATAATTATAAAGTTTTACAAGTATATATTGATTTAGATCTAATTGATTTAATTGAACAAAAGAACATTAATAAATTAATTAAAAATTTAAAAAACTCACATATTCATTATATGTCAGTTGTAAATAAATTGTCAAATGTAAATTAATTAATTAAAACAAAATTATTATCATGTTTAAACTCACAATGAATACATTTTATACGTATGATTGAAGACGCTATAACATCAGCTGCTGATGAAGCTCGAATGACTGATGAAAATAACAGTCGAACAAGATTATTTATTCACCGTATATTCGATTTGTTGCCAATTTCGTTACGACAACAATTTTTATCGTTAGATGCTCATGATTATCCTCGTGGAAAAAAATAGTTGCACACAGTATTTTTAAGATATGTTCCTTACGAAAATATACTTTTACAAAAATGATCACATATTCTGATAGCGCTTGGAATTCTCTACAATTCTGTATATTTAAATCTGGTCTTGCATTTATTTGCTGAAAAATACATTGAGTGCAATGACGGTCCCCTCATCGTCAGATTCCCAGAAATTATAATGAGTGTGGCATCTCAATATTTTCTATTTTTCTCGTGTTTCTTTAGGACCCAAAGGTTAATGTTTTTTTAAAAAGATGCGCCGCGAAATACTCTACAAAACCATACCTAACCTTTAATTTTAGAACTCCAATTAAGAAAATTACGCCGATTATATGAAAGACGAAAAAAATGAAAACTTTGAAAATCTTTTATTTTTTTCCACCTGAATCTTTTTCTTTTGCTACTATTTCCGTAAAAAAAAGGGTTGCAAAAGTGAGAAGTCAATTATTTTTGTACTTCTGAATGTGCTCTTTCTCGTGGTCTATAAAGAATCTTTTAGAACAGATAGTGTGGAAAAAACTAAAGAAGTAGCGAAAAAATGCACCTTTTTTGTACTTGTCAATTGGGGGTACCTTCGCTGTACTCAAATTATTTTTCAGCAAATAAATGTAAGACAAGACATAAATACATAGGATGATAGAGAATTTTAGGCATTATCAGAATATATAATTACTTTTATAAAAAACAATTTCTACAGTGATGATAAATTGAAAAAGCAGGGTGAAGAAATAGTAACAAAATGCAGTCCGTGGAAATTTGACAATGTGGGAGCCATCATTGCACTCAATTTGTTTTTCAGCAAATACATACAAGACAAGATATAAATATACAGAATTGTAGAGAATTCCAAGCGCTATCAGAATATGAATTCACTTTTGTAAAAGTATGTTTTCGTAAGGAAAATATCTTAAAAATACTGTGTACAACTATTTTTTTCTACGAGGATATATTATTTGTGATGATCAAGATGTACATGTTTTTACAGATATTAAAAATAATATTCTCAATACGTTGTCGAAAACAGTGCCAGATTTTAGTGCTGATGAATTAGGAACCATGATTGAATCAATACGTGCTCAAATGGTCCATCGTCTTCAAAATGATATTATTAAACTACGTTGTGGAGAGCCCTGTCCAATATGTAAAGTACCATGTCATTTAGAAGCTGGCTATAATTCCTATGAAATAGATTTACTGAAGTTAAGTGGTCAAGCAATTGTTGGTCGAGCTATACAGATATTATTAACAGCTTGAAAAAATACAACAAATGATCTCTCTGAGAAATTACACGATTCTTATCATCAACCACGTGGTCTTATTGGATGTTCTTGGATAAAACATCGTTATTTATTAAATCAATTGGTCGCTTCTGATTGTACAACGTCTACACTTTTCATTCATCGTTTTAAATATAAGGGTGAGCATTATTCTTTTAAAAAGTTTTGCAAAATATTTCCAGAATGGCAATTATCAACCTTAACTTCAAAAGATACTTTGAAATTAAGAGAATACATATTCTACAAGTATCAATTGGATTTATCAAATGAATATTCAAAACTGAAATGTACAGAAATGCCAGATAGGTATAAATATCATACATTAATAACAATTAAAAACCACTTACAACAAGTGACAAATGAAACTTCAATTGATTAAAATATTTTTTCTCACTTCTTCTATTTGCGCTGTAAAGTTGTTTTTCTACTAAACGTATTTTATTTTATCAGTCCTACACTTTCTGATTTATATTATCAATCGAGATTAATAAAGAATTTATTCCTGATCAAAACAAATAGTTTGTATTCAATATGCATAAGATTATCATTCTCTTGATGTTGCCTTGTTAGAGAAACACAATCTCATAAAACTTTTTCTTCTTTTAAAGTTTCATTCTGTGGTGAATAGTTTGCGGTTTGACGACGGACACAATAACTCATCTTCATTTCATGACAATATTTTATACCACCACACAGTCCGTCAACTTCAATGCCAAATGCTGTTACTACTATCTGAAGAATGTTAAACACGTGTTCGATCATACGGATATTTTAATCGACAAAAGTCATCACACCACCACTACCACTATTATTACCAATGAAACTGCCACAGTTGGACAACGAATATTTAAGATGGAAAAGTTTTTTCTTCTATTCTTTACAATTTGTTTCATCTGTATTGTCATTTGTTGTTGAATCAAGTAATTGTTTGAATCATTGGTTATTGTATATTTCTTGACATAGAAAATAATCCACAAAAATACTGATCGTTTCCGAAGATATTGACAAAATCATTTATATTAGAACAATATAATGGAAATTTGATTGTCTTTACATTGTTCTATATCATTATGAAATATTTTTGTTGTCGTTCATTAAACAATAAACCTTGGAAAGGGGAAGGAAAAGTAGATAAAAGATTCGAACAACTAGAAAGATAGACTACCCTACCTTTTTAAAACCGAATGCAAACATTTTTTCCATCGTTTAGTAAGATCGAGCAGACACTTCTCTTCAAAATGAGACCTGCCACAGCTGTCCACAACCTTTCCTCATTGAGTTATGACTTTTACACCAGAAGCGCCAGCAGCAGAAGTCTCACTTACATTGTGAAAAAAAAGAGCTATTATAGGCTGATGTTCGCTTTGGAGCTTGTAGTGTAAAAGTTATAATCTCCTGCCATCATACCAAATATCACATTATTTATCAAAAGCCAAAGAATACCATAAAACCCATATCAGAGCCCAGGAGCCACTACTGCTAGTCCATACTAACCGTATACATGTTTCGTGAACAGAAGATCATGTTTCCAAAGTTTTATTAAAACGGAGGACGGGAAATCATATAAACCCAATATACAAATTTTCGGAAAACACTTAGTCCAGAAACTAAATGATCTTTCTCCCACATCAAAACGTTCAACCAAATGTTCACATATTACACTCGCGAGAACATAACACTCATTTCAACTCGTAACAACCTTTTAAACTCGTAGGGGTTCAAGACAGCTGCCCTATGCTATACTACAATAGCACACATTTTTCAACTCGTAACATGTTTTTAAACTCGTACGAGTTCAAAACAGCCTCCCCAGCCTCCTCAATACTATATTAGAACATAACACAGTTTTCAGCTTGTAACATCTTTTTAAACTCGTACGAGTTCAAACAGCCAATACTAGATGCACGTAAGCGTTTTTTCATCTCGTTACGAGTACGAATTTAACATGAAGTCGCATTTCGAGATTCTCAGAGATGTCTACTGGTAGATAGACACGTGTTCGAGGAAAGCGATCCCTATCCAAACGTTCCTAATACAGTTTTTGTCTCATCTGTTCAATGATTTTGAAGAAAATGGTCGAGCTATTAAATTCTCTACAAAAACATATTCAGCAATTAGTTTCCAATTCTATCAATAAAAGGCTATGAGGAAAATACTCCAAAGCTTCAACTTCGATTACTTTCTAATCTCTTTTTAGCACATTTTGAACTATAAAAACGAGCCATCTTATAATCCTTGAAAAGCTCTATCCAGAGGCTTTATTCAGCATTTTTTTAAAGCCAGAAGTGTTTCGGGAGAAAATCTTTTTTTTTCTCAATTATACCAAAAATTTTCTATTTATAGTTCAAAGACGGTGAACAACTAATACCTTTTCGTGTATCTCTATTATTGCAATTATTAAACAAATAACAGATTGGAACGTTATAACAGCGCATGTCAGACCAACTGGACATACATTCCATGCATACCATCAATGTTAAATCATCGACAAATAATGACATAAACAAGAGACCATCGCGAATGATCGAGATGACAGAAATTAAAACTGGTCCACCAAATATAATAAATGCCAATGTTGTATTATATAATGATAAAAAAACTCAATAACATTTCTATATCTTCAACAATCTGACTATGTATGATTGTAAACTGTTGATTCTTTAGCAGCTTTTAAGATCGTCAACAGTACTGTATTTGTTAATGCAGTAGAAATAAAGATCCTGCTCATTCGTAATATGACCGAGAGGTTCAATAAAAATTTTCTCATATGAAAGATTTTACTGTTGAACTTCAGAATGATAAGTAATGAGCCATATTCACATCCTGGTGAGGACGCTGTATGTTGTCCGTCAAACGGCTTGAAAGCTGGCCGTATATCGTATAGATGTATCGTAGCTGGCATGTATCATATAGACAGAACGGAAGGAAACAATGCCTATATGTAGCGACCTCATCAGGATGTGAATATGACTCATTCGATAAAATAAGATTAGTATAATACCAAAAGAATTGTATACACCATGAAAATCACCATAATCACGGGAAAAACAGAGTAAAATGTTTTCATCTTTCGAAGTTACATCGCTGGTGGAATCTAAAATAAATGATGCCCATGTAAAACAAAACAGCTAAAACTAGGTCAGAATCGATGTATATCCCTTGCAATCAAAATAATCGATAAAAAGTCGAATTTATTGAAATTGATTTTATCTCTTTAGATCACGATAATCGAACAAGAAATGAAATCTATTAAAATCGACTGTTATCAAAAGAAATCTATTTTAATGGATTTTATCCGTTGAAATCAAAATAATCTATTAAAATTTGTTTTCATCAAACGAAATCGATTAAAATCGATACTATCGGTTAAAATCAAGGTAATCAATTAAGAATCTGATTGATTTTAATTGATTGTTTGTTTTATCTATTTAAATGTTTTCTGCTGTTTTGGTTTCTAGGAATCATTGAAATCTTTTAAACTGTTGTAATCAATTGAATCCGATTAAAGGAAGATTAAAAGCGCATGGAATATTTTCTTGCGGCTGAAAAATCAGATTCAAATCTATTTGAATAGTGTTAGTTAAAATTTAATCCGGGGACTGGAACTCCAACAAAGATTTACGATGGCGAAAGGTTTACGATGGTGTACTTTGCGAGAAAAAAATCTGAGCTTACCATTCCGCGAACATACATAGTGAACAAGGCTCAGAAACCATGTGTGATACAGAGCGACATCTTCTCTGCATACTGGTTCAAGTACGAGACCGCAAACTGTAGGCATTCTTCAATGATCCCCCTGTCGGCTACGCTTTAACCCTGAGAATCTCAAAAAGATTTGGCATATATGTTTTTAAATACGCTGGATGCCATGACAGTGTTTATTTTATCACAACATCAAATTTGGATACCACAAAATTTGGAATAGTGGATGTGTACAATATTTAATTCTCGAATATTGCTAACTGGTAAAGTGATAAGCTGCTAGCTAGTGATAACTGCTAACTGGTAAAGTGATAACCAACTGTACAAACGCTCAGGTATACGTGCTTATCGTTGTGTTATATCGTCTACGGCAACAGCAGACTACCATCTATTTGAGCAGTATGCAGTCAGTATTTTTTTTGTTCAATAAGACCTAAGTTGCAATGGACAATTTTTTGCTTATTTAGACGAACGTAGTTCATATCGCTTTGAACTAAATGCCAGAAAAACGTCATCGTTCAAGTTTTTTTCTTGAAAGTTCAGGAAAGCCTTGGAACAGTTTGCATCTCTGCTATATTATCAACAGATTTCAAAAATACGTCTTTGCGCTTTGGAAAAGTTAGCAAATTCAAACACGTGTCTCCACAGAAAAGTGTCTTTTACATAGCATCGTCAAGAAGACATTCGTCTTCACTGCTTCTACGTCCTCAAGATGTCTGCAGAAGAAAGTGTCTTCTATACGACTACTTTACCTTCCCAAAAATACGTGTGTGTATTGTGCCAGTTCTATAAACGTGTCTTACCGACGACGTTTTACATATATCATCTGTGTGATTGCAAAGTCGCACATGCGTTGCAGATGACTTTTTAATCCCAGTACTATATGTTCTGAAGTGACGTAATCATTAAGAAGTTTTAGGCAATTTTATGCAGCATATTGAGTTCGAACCTCTGCAGAACATCTGATCTTCTTCGTTTCTTGTAGTAAATGCTATGTATGCGACTTCCGGAAAGATGCTGAAACCTGATCAAAAGAAAACGCATTCCTGTATGAAGAATCATTCTATGACTTTCTCAAATGTATCCTCATATAGGGTACAATACGGTGTCTTCTGGTAAGTGTTTCAAAAGAATATAGTTTTAAATTGAACCAAATTCATGAACCATTCATCAACGGTTTCTTTAGTTATCAAAATTCGGGTATGTAACGATCATGGATTCTTTTCGTTCGTCGCTCAGCGGGAAATTTTTCGTCTCAAAGAAATATCCTGCTTG